ACACAGTGGCTCAGCTTCAATCAGGAGAGATTGCCTACAAGAGCAAATTAAGAGAAGAACCAAAATGTGACAAACATCCCCAAATGACTCTTAACATTTATTGCAGCACATGTGAGCAGTTGATGTGCACACTATGTCCTTTTTGGAAACATCGACAACATTCTCATGCTGACATATCTGAAGCTTTTGAAAAATGCAAAGAAGAAATTGCAGAACTGATGGAAAAGTTTGAAATGAAGAAAAAAAAGTTTAATAATACCAAGAAAGACACAGCCGAGTCCCGTAAGAAACTAGACACCCTGTTTGTAGCCACCAACAAGAAGATCTCCCAAAAGGCTGACAAGGAAGTCGCTAGGATCAGAGAGATGGAGCAGAAACTGAAGCAAGAGGCCAAGGAGATCTATCAAGACAGAGTTAAGACACTGGAGACTGCTGATGACGCCAACAATACACAGCTGACAGTAGCAGAGCAGACATTGGATGAGATGAACCAGCTCCTGGCTCAAGAAATCAAGAGTGAGATTTTGCATCTCAAGCAAAAGTTCCTGCACTCCATCAGAGAACTGACTAAACAACAGCCATACGTCGTGCCTCATATGTTGTGCTTCATTGACTTTCAACAGTATGAAGAGACTGAGAAGTCACTTGGTAGGCTGATTCTAGGAGAGAAATCTACAATACGTTTTGAGAAAGAAAGAAAACTGCACATGAATTATGCAGTGGAATCTGTCGCAGCTTTTTCCAACAAAGAAATAGTCACAGTAAAAAAAGACTTAAAACATCTAGTAACTTATATTCCAGAAAGCAACCCAAAATCCCGCAATTGGATAAATAATCCAGATATCAAAGATCCACGTCAGGTTGCGGTGAACAGAATAGACCAACTCGTTATACTAGATGGTCCTGCAGTCAAGACCCTCGACAGAGTATCCATGGGCCGGTATCAACTCCTCCATCAGTTCCAGCCAGGAACTAATTCAGACAGCAAACCAACCTGCCTGGCAGTGGATGATGACAATCTGATAGCTGTGGGCTACAAGGCCAAGGGAGAGATCAGCCTCCACAACCCAGATGGAACCCTCATCAGGAGACTACCAGCACCAATGATTGAAGATCACCTGGCCATCAGTAGGAAGCAGTTAATGTACACCAACTACGACATGTGTACGCTGGTATCCAAAAGTTACTCCGGTGACACTGAGTACGTAAAAGATGTAGGCAGCCCAAGGAGTGTGTGCTGTGACAGTCAAGGCAACATCTACGTTGCCAGCCATCTACCCTATTTGGCAGGTAGGGCAACCATTAAAGCTTTCAGTCATGACGGTAAATTCCTCGGATGTGCAATCCAGGAATGCATGTATCCATACAGCATGACCATCACACCCAAAGGTGATCTAGTGCTAGGTGGATGGGATTTGTTGGAGATCTATCATCATGTGTGACTGCCGGCAACGCTGCTGAACATTGGAATGACAGTAACATGGGATCATCTCGATGTTTACATGTAAAATGCATGTTACTGATTCCTTGCAGATTTCCAGGAAAAACCGTGAACCTTGTTTTTATCAAAATACGACTTTGAACACCTGGTAATTGCATAGGATGTAAAAATTGGAATATTTGTTGTACCTGTACACGACTAAAATTTGTATCAATTTGTTGGCATTGGGCGGTACTATTAGTCCAAATTAAGACAGAAACTAGGCAAGTGGGGAGTTGTTATATTTAATTTGAAGAATTCCACTTCAACTTTCAAGCGAATTTATTTTAGACAACATGTACACCAAGAATATGCAATTTCTTCGACAGTTGTGAACGTTACATGAGGCTCTTCCTAAGATGAAATCCATGCTTTGATATGACAGTCGCACACTTTTAACGTCAAATTGTTTTGCTCTGTATAAGAACAAAATTGTTATGTTAGTAATAATGTGTTTTCATACACAGCTTGTACATGTACATGTATGAACATTTTACCTTACACGTGCATGTGAGTGCACTTTTGTGAAGATAAAAAAGTATGTGCATTGTTCTTTTGTTACCCCAAAATATGACCTACATGTACTAGTAAACCCTTTATACATGTAGGTTAAACCCAGGTGAACAGTTGTCTTACTGAAAAGAACATGTGACTTGACTTCCTCGATAAGAAAATTTAATAATATTTTTATTCATTTTGCAATGTCTAAATGCCTAAGTTTTTTTAAAAAGTGATTAACTTCTGCCAGATACATGTAAGGAGTCTAAGACTGGACATGTCCACTCGCACAACCTATTTAAGTACATTGCATTTGCTTTAATTTTAAAAAAAATGACACAATGGATTTATGGATAAATCTACAACAGTCTCATTTTAAATTTAACTTAGTTACAATCTATCCAATCCCAGTCCTGTTTATCAATTTGTTTTTCAGTTTACGCTAAGAACATTGTCCACTTGTACAAGATACATGTATACATGTACATCTGACAACTGTTTCTCGGATACAAGATTAGGATTGCAGAGGGAAAAGATGAATAGGTTTTCATCATTTTGCTCCAATGAATTCCCCATTTTCTTTTCCCATAATGCATTCCTTTTTAATTAATTTTGATGCTCATCACACTAGTTTTATGTTTACTTTCTCAACTGGAAATACAAATCATGCAAAATTAATTGATCTCTACTTCTTCACATTTGTTAAAGAAATCAAGTCCAAGAAAGGGGAAAAAATTCACTTCGTGGCCACCGATTTCACTTTGACTTCATGACAATAGGCAGGGTTTAACTGACTGTGCATGGAAGCTCATTCATATTCATGAAAGGTAAATTATGAAGAATTGAATCATATGATCCACTGGCAGATAGAGGAAATCAACCTGGCTGCCATCTTTGCTCATACTGTTGTACTGCAAACTTTTAATAAAAATTTCCAAGGACAGTAACCTTATCTCAACAGTCCACACATAGCCAGGTTGGCTAAGTTCATTTACAGAGGAAGCAGATTTTTTAATGTACACGTAGGATTTGCTGAAGGCCACATTTTTAAGAGCAATTTTTTTCCAGCCTTATCATATTTGCCAGAGTTAAGAATTCAGTGAAACAAGGAACTTTGAAAGCTCTTAAACTTTTTGACCACCCGGATGGATACATGAGAGCAAATGTGGTAAATATTAACCTACATGTATATTTACTCAGCATATCACATGCTTCTAAGATATGCTGCTAACGGTGAAACTGGGGGAGTGTCCGTACTGCTGTCTTTTTCGATAATTTTCATGGCACATTTCAGTCGGAGCCTTGCGGTGGTTGTGCCTTTATCTTAAAGTGGCAGATTTGAATGGCAGACAGCTAACGACATCAAGAATACTTCATGCACCATGAACAAACTTAATAGTATCCGGTAAGTGTCTCTTCTCTTCAAAAGATTGTGGTTGGGTACATATAAATGACACTTGCAGTCTTGCAGATATGTAGGTGTTACTCCGCCATGTTGATTCTCTCAAGACAGCATTCACACTGGCATCATCTGGAAGCAAGCTTAAATCTCCTACATATCTTTGTTTTGTTGTACTATTGGGATACCCCACTTTTGGGTCAGGATAAGACACTCTCCGTTTTTCCTGGGACCTCATTCAGCTCGTTCTACTATCTGGGATCCAATTTATTCCTGCCCTCATGACACCTAGGTACAATTTTGTAAGTTTACAAAGCATTCTTTGATTTCCAAGAGCCATTACATGTAATGCAAATTACCTGCAAAACAAACAAAACAGTTTACAATTTCAATGACATACATGTACAGTTAACCCTGGTCAAATTACACAAGTCACCTTTAACAAGGACAGGAAAAGGTCACATCAGACCCCAAATTTACACAATGACGTGCTGCATTTCATGTTCCTCAGTGCACAGTAACTACAGCTGTTTCATGTGAACTACCCCACCTTCACAGAAAACAGCCGTTGGGCACATGGTACAGGATATGATGTCACTTCCCATGGGTGACAAGAGGTTTGTGTGACAAAGACTTTGCTGAGCAAGAAACACCGACTACTGACTACCACAAAAACCACAGTTCATTTGTCTACACTCTTGCAGGTATGTTAAATTCTTATTTTACCTCATAATCACAAACCACGGCACTGAAGACAGGAACATTCACAGCAGGGCAATACTGCAGACTGCATTTAACCCGCCAGACCCGTGGACCCCATGTTTTTGCTGACTATGGAGTCATGGTCGACTTCCTTCCTAAGGAGCATGTTGCACTTAATGCGCTCTCACTCTGCTGCATAGCAAGCTGCAGGGTACAGTCTGCCCGGACTTGGAAATTTTCCCTCACAACCTGCTTTAAGTTGTGGACTGCTTCGTTCTCAGAGGGCCCTGACTCGATTGCTGCGTAGCCAGCTACAAGGTAGTCCCTTTCCACTGAACCATCTACATGGTGCATGGTTTCAATTCCACCTTGCGGCCAGTGATTCCTTAGGACATGTTTGCACTGGACTTTTTTGGGTCAGACTTACTGAGGCGATGGCTGCTTTTCCCATTTTAAGTCCAGTGCAGAAATCCAAAGAAGTTTTCCTCTTGGTTACTTTCCCTGCGCCGTGCGGCCATTTTTACAAGCCAACTTCTCTCAAGGAAAAATTCCCAAGACACTTTTCCAAAAAGCCCAGTGCGGACAGTGTAAGTCCGTAAAAGCACGAGAAAGTGGCCCGGAAGGGCGTACATCCGGCCCAAGCACAATGGCATATCCCATACAGGGAAACTATGCATGTTTCTATGCACATTTCACTGCAGTGTGGTATGTGGAGACAATTTTCAGTACATTTGCTCCTCTTTTTGTCCCAACCCTGGCAGAAATTATTATTAACACTGTTGAAAGATTAACTGGTGTCAAGAATACACCATTTCCATTTTCATGAGGATGAATGTAGTGTTTAAGGACAAAAACAAATGCAGAAAGGTCACACAAAGCCCCCTCATAAGTCACTGCATTACCAGCTTGATTACTTATCCCGTGATCTCAGTAAAATTTTCCCGTGTCAAAAGTCCAAGTGCGGGACAGTGATCACATGACCATTTCTCATTTGACCATCGACTCGGTAAAACCCACAGAAGAAAAAGTCCAGTGTGAATACGGCTTTACTGGTGGAGTAATCTGCAATTACTGGTATTCCACAGTCAGAGCATGCTAGAGTATAGGGACGAATAGAGGGTTTGCATAGCTGCCATCTTGCAGGCCAGTGCTTTTGTTCCACACGGCAGCACAAAGGAGGTTTCCCTGTAGAACAAAAGCACTGCCCTGCATGATGGCTACAACGCAAAGCCTCTATACACAAGTAGCTTCCATTCCTCACGCTTTACCAAAATTCGGCACTTGTAATCATTCCTTCATTCTTCTGAGAGTAATTTTGTTGATTTCCGGATTAATAACTCATCTTTTGGGGGGCCTGGCAACCATTTCTCACGATAAGATTTCATTTGACAGATTTGTTTAAATTTGACTGGCATTGGCAACAAAAGGTTTGTGCATGTATATGATTCAAGGAGTGCTGCTGTTCCATATTATAGCCAATTGTAAAAACAGTAAGACCACAGAAAACTGACAAAAATACCGGTATTTCTATTTGATCATAGCACAAGTCTGGAAGCATATTTCTGCTGCTCCTTTCTGACCAAACAATGGCGACCAGCAGGGCAGCTGAGGTTCTGGAGAAGATCGGTGAGCGTCATCTGGAATGCTCCATCTGCTTTCAACGTTTCACGGAGCCCAAATTTCTTGATTGTTTGCACACTTTTTGCTTGAAATGTCTCCACAATCTCAAACTCAGAGAAGGTCCCCAAATTCTGAAACTCAAATGTCCTATGTGCAGACATGAGACTATGTTAAAAAGCGATAGCCTTGAAGATCTGCCGCCTAACTTCACGCTGAGCGCCCTGGTGGAGGAATTCGCAATACAGGAACAGCTTCTACAGGGTCAAGGGTCAGAGATCAAATGTCAAAGCTGCAATGAGACAAATCAAGCGACATCATTTTGCATGGACTGTGCTCATTTTCTTTGTCAGGACTGCCAAAAGGCACATGAACGCTTGGCAATAACAAAATCTCACAAAATCTACACCACTGCTCAGATCCAATCAGGAGAGATTGCCTACAAGAGCAAACTAAGGAAAGAACCAAAATGTGAGAAACATCCAGATCAGAATCTTAACATTTACTGCGATACATGTGAACAGTTGGTATGCACAACTTGCTCCGTTCTGAAACATGAAAAGCATTCTCGCACTGAAGTATCCGAGGCTTTTGACAAATGCAAACAAGAAATTGCGGCAGTCATGGCAAAGATGGAAAAGAAGAAAGCGGAACTCAGTAATGCAAAGAAACACACAGCTAAGTCTCGCAAGAAACTAGACACTATGTTTGAGGCCACCAACAGGAAGATCTCCCAAAGCGCTGACGAAGAGGTTGCTATGGAGGTTGCTAGGATCAGGGAGAAGGAAAAGAAACTGAAGCAAGAGGCCAAGGAGATCTACCAAGACAGAGTAAAAATATTTAATGCTGCTGATGACGCCAACGACGCACAGCTGACCGTAGCAGAGCAGACACTGGAGAAGATGCACCAGCTCCTAGCTCAAGAAATCAAGACGGAGATTTTACATCTCAGGCCGAAAATCTTGCACCCCGTCAGACAACTGACAGAACAACCACCGCAGTCGGTGCCCGAGAAGTTGAACTACATGGATTTTCAAGCGAGTGAGGAGACCGAGAAGTCACTTGGAAGGCTGATTCTGAAGGACGAGACCGAGTGGCGATTGAAGAGCGAAATGAAGCTGGAGGGGAAATACGCGGTCACTTCCGTTGCAGTCTTCTCCAACAATGAAATAGTCACCGTGAACAGCAAACTCAAACAGCTGATGACATATTTACCGACAAGCAACCCTCAATCCCCTTTCTCCCACAAAATTCTACAAATTCCAGTTCTTGCGGGTCCACGCAAGGTCGCCGTGAACAGCTTGGACCAACTCGTCGTACTTGATGTCCGTGCAGTCAAGATCCTCAGCCGGGAATATCAGCTCCTCCATCAGTTCCAGCCAGGACATGATTCGGACAAGGTACCGACCTGCCTGGCCGTGGACGAGAACAACCTGATAGCTGTGGGCTACAAGGGAAAGGACGAGATCAGCCTCCACAAGCCCGATGGAATCCTCATCTGGAAACTACGGGCGCCGATGATTGAACACGAACTGGTCATCACCAACAAGCAGCTAATCTACACCAACCACAACGTGGGTAAATTGGTGTGTAAAGATTACAATGGGGGCACGGTGTTCGAGGTAGACACACGTAGGCCACTGGGCGTATGCTGCAACAGTGAAGGCACCATCTTTGTTGCGGAAGGCCTACGCTCTTCACCAAGTGCAGCAAACATTCACGTCTTCAATGCTGACGGCGAATATATTGAATGTGTCATCAAGCAATGCATTTATCTTCTTGGTATGACCTTCACACCTGCCGCCCATCTGGTGATGGGCGGATGGGATTTCTTGCAAATCTACCATCGTGTGTAATTACATGTACATATATTGCCACTGAAAATCCCTCTTCAAAACAGCCCCCAAAGTCTACTCAAAGATGAAGCAAATCTACATCACTCATTCTTGACAGATATTTAAGACGACTGATACCGTAGTTCCCTTTAAGCATACACAAATATACCCAGATATACCCAAAACAACTTGCAAATGGCGTCACAACTTGTAAAATTGTGTTTTCTTGGTAGCCAACTTACTGACGTTGGCACTGCATGCAGGAGATATTGGTGTGCTGGGGCAGTTATCAGCGGGTAGTTAAAATTTAAAACCATGTTAAACCATGTTACGGTGTGTAGTCACAAACTATGACCTAAAGCCCAAATATGAGGTATCGTCAGAGACCAGACCCCTCACAAACTTCCAATAAAAATAAATACATCACATTTCAAATTACTCAAGCAAATAATCCCTCCCGATGAAAGCATTTTCTGCCAACAAGTCAACCATCAAAACACTTCCAACCATTTTGTTCTGCCATTCTACATTCGTTTGAGGTGAAGTGGCTGTGATTTAAGTTTTCTTGTTTATCTGACAAAATCAAAAAACAAGTTATCGCTGCTGTCAGACAAATAAGGCCAGGTGATAAAAATTACCTTTTGAGTTTCTTGATTTATAAAAGAAAGTTTGGCTTCTTTGAGCAAAACAATTTTTTTCGTTAGGAGAAATGTTGAATGTTGTATACATGTATACCTGTGCTGTCAGAAAATGTGTACCAATTAGTTATGACCCCCAATGTACGAGTAAAGCAAAGTTACCATGGCGACTAGAACACAAATGGTTGGACAACGGTTGGGCAAAGCTGTTAAGCAGTCATTCGGAAAGTCACAATTTTGCGGAAATTCTGGCAAAATAGAGGCAACTCATTTTAAATACGAAGAGAAAACAAAGGGTGAGAAGTCTGTAAATAATAACTACATGTACATGTATATGGTCTGCCGTTAGTGTCGCTTGTCAAGTTTTTGTCTTATAAGACATTTCTGCGTCAAACTGTCTTCTGAATATGCCTCTGTATTAGCCCCCTTTTCTCATTTGCGTTTAACTATTTATTCTTATATTTAAAAAAAAAGTCTTTCAATGATCGACCTTCGGTATGGTATAGCCATAACAGACCCAAATATTGAGCTAAAAAAAGCAATCGATCAATCCTTAGCAACATGTCACAAGTATAAAACCCCTAAATTGAACTCCTTGGGCTCCTTGTGATGAAGCACTGGTGATGATGGTTACAATATTCAGAAACAAACACTGCACAGCGTTTCAGGACAGCGGAAGGACGGGAAAGGACTTACCTCCTCGTTTTCCAATGGCAGACATATCTCTAACAGCAGCTGCACGGCGGTGCTCTCCTGCGCGGCAATGAGGGCGCTCTTCAGCTCCTCCCTCTCCGGGTCGGTGGGCTGAGGGGTCAGTCCCTGCTCGGGCCGCCTGAGGATGCTGGGGCTGGACTGGAGATGGGTGGCCAGGAAGGCTCTGGACGCGGCCAGGTAGGCGGTCAACATCTGCATGACCACATCCAAGATTGGCGGACACCTAAGTCACAGAAATCAATTTATGTATAGTTGTTGTTGAAGACAGCGATATGTCCAGATAATTTTCTGTGAAGCTGCCGAAAAAGGTATTTAACTTAAGGCAACATGATAAACAAGAATAACGATTCAGCAAAACTGACCTGAATACTCTGAGATCACATCTGAGCACGATCAGTGGATCCAGCGTGATGTCTTCCTCAGTGAACGGTACCACTGGCTTTGTGCACACCAGCGCATTCACGGTCATCACTCGCAACCTCGACAAAACAACAAATCACGCTCTTAAAAACCAAGAAAAACCACCCTCAAAAGAAGTACACAATAGGTCCAAGCTTACCAGCTAGGATGTCAGGCAAACTATACTGCCTATGACTGGTACTCCGCTGATACCTTGCTTAAAACACGACAAATTGACTCAAATGTGGCAGAATTCAGGTCGGTTCTAACTTCCTATTTTCTTCCATCCACTAGACGTTGAACACAAGCCAATAACATTTCAATAGGAATGCATTCTTTGAACTCAACTACAACAGCAAATCCCATGTAGACAGAAAGTGAATAGTCCACAGATTCCTGGATCTATCAAAATCTTTACAATCAATCGTTAGACTGTAGAGGCGTTGGGCTAGCAACAATGAACAGTTTTAAAATGTTTCTGTCGATATCATCACACATAAACCCAAGACTCAATAGGCTAAAAGGTAACAAATATGACTAATCCATTGCTTGTACTAGACCATGCAGCCTGTGATAATGATTCAGCATGGATGAACGCTGCCACTGAGTTTCAAATTAATGCTTTCTTGTGAGCTGAAAAAAAAATAATAAAACTATTCATACCTTACCAACAAGCATAAGGAATGAAAAATTTAAGAAGAAGAAACAGTTGCAAAACACGGACGAAGACTTACATCATAAAGACACTTTTTTCAACAGTCGCTAAGGAAATGTTTCAATTCTTACTTTCTGAGCATGACCGTGTTCAGCATCCTCCACAGCTTGACGGCCAAGGTCACAACTTGTCGAGGCACCCTTTCACCCAGCAAGCCAGGGAGGCTGTCCACCAGAACCTCGGCAAAATCCATCAGGTGATGAGGTTCTGACTGACAGAGGCGTCTCAGGAGGAGGAGAGATTCCGACGGGTCCTCGCGGGCGTGCTGCAGGGCTGGGGTTCAAAAAAGACAGAGCCTTGAGGATTATAACTGAAAAAAAAAAAATCGGTGGAATTTCTTCCGGAACTTGCAGACAAGAACTTCACCCTTACCATGCCTAGTCCAACAAGATTCGGTGTAATTCTTGCTCAATCTTGGTGTTTTAACCCCTTTGCACCGGGAGGGCGGCAAAAGCCGCCGTAAAAATTGAGATCCTCAGCCCGCTTTTCAGCTGTAGCTATTATTCTCAGCCAACGCTCGAGCGAACACAGTGAAAGAAGGCAGACCCTGGCTCTTGTATATATGGTAATTGGTCTTTGTGCGCCGCCCAGAAATGAAAAGATCGATTTTGCCTCCCAGATTCCATGGGTTCTCACCCAGAATATTCCTCTGAGGTTTTCCTCCCACCTCTAAAACTGTAACTGCTTCTCACTGTCTCCTCTCTACAGGTTTCTTCAGGCTTACGAGCTATAATGGCTAAGGTGTTTTTGAGGAGTCCTTGGTTTCATTACCAGAAATAATGGTAACAAGCACAGGACAAGGATGTGTACCCAAGACAATACCGGCGATTCACATCGGCGTGCCTCCAACAGTTTGCAATGCGTCGGCCAATCACAATGCACGAAATCTGTCGACCCTTTCCAAGCACGCATTGGGTCCACAGATTACGCATTTTGTGATTAGCCAAAGCGTTGCAATCTCTTTGAGGCATGCTATTGTGAAACGCCCGTATTCCCTCAGGATCTGAGTCGAATCAGGCACCGACTCACCATTCCGAAGTCTCGCAGGGGAACACTTGGAGGCGGGGGCCCCGCCCTGCCGTTTCTTCCTCTCTCTGCCACCCACTTCTTCCTCCATTAACTCCTCCCCTAGCCAGTCCTCCACCAGGCACAAGTGGGGGTAGTGGGTGGCCAGGAGGCGTAGGAGGGAGGGGTAGAGCCCGGCATAGTCTGGCTGGTGCCGCTGGGCTTCATGGAGGAGATACTTGATGGGGATTTGGGAGGTGAGCTTAGAGGAGTAGGACTGGGGCCGCTCGTTGTGCATGACTGTGTCAAATATTTCAAACATAATTACAGCTCTAAAAACTGAAACCCATTCCTAAAATAGTGAAATCCATCAGGACGGCATTTATCTCCCGTTTCCTTGACATCAAATAACCGAGAATATGTTTATTCCCCCCCTGGGTGGGATGCTCATCCATCACAGGCCAATCCCAACTACTGCTGGCACTTATTTATCCTCCTGGTGGAGAGAGGCAAAGTTAGAGTAAAGTGACTTGCCTGTGGGCACATCACATGGCTAGTTTCAGCTTAGCACAAAAACATGCTTAGCAACAATTTCTCAATAGTAGCGGCATGATATTTCAAAACGGCATTTTCCAATGTAACCTCAGTAAACGTCTCAAAATTAATCTGAGCCAGTTGGGGACATGGTCAGAAAGTAAAGTCTTAAACTGAAATGGATAAAGACAAACCTACCCAATGTTTTCATGTTGCTGAGCACACAGTCCTCATAGAGCAGTAAATAGTACAGCATCAACAGCTGAACCGTCAATCCGGACCCGCCCTCCCCGGCCACACCCGGATCCTCAGCAAGAACCGACGCCCGCAACAGCGAAACGTTGGAGGTCTTGTACACAGATAGGATCTCCCTCTCGGTGAGTGGTTCGTTCCGGTACTGCTTAGTACCTGATTGGGTGGGCACTACCACCGAGGTTACATAGGCCTCCAGGAGGGGTGGGCAGAGGGGATGGAGGGGAGGGGCACTGTGGCAGATCTGCTTAAAGATCCAGTCCTAGACAGGATAAAAAGGTCAAAATTGAAAAACTGCAAATTATTTGACGTTTCAAAGAAATCAAGTTTGAATAAATGTTCCAACGGTGAACTCAGTAATATTTCATTTCAATTTATGTTACACATGTCGCCTGGTACGGAATGGATTCTTTTTGCATACAAATCATTGGCATTAAAATGCCCATAAATTGTCTAGTCAATTGTAAATTTCCACATAAAACATTCATTACTTGATGATGTAATTTCAAAGCAATGCACAATTTAAACAGTTAAAAGATGTCTTCACTGGACATTGTTTGTTATTTTGACAACGGTCCCCGTGCATTTTGTTTGAAAGCAAATCATTTCCCATGCATCTTTACCCGACACGTTACCTTGATTGGGACTTTGTGCTTGGCAAATGCACGGTTCTGAAGTAGATTATAGACACAGTGGATTGGCAAGTAACCAGATATGGAGCCGCTGAGGTCAGGGGTCACAGCTACTGTAACAGCATGAGCAGTAACAACCTGCATGAAAGAGCACACACAGACTCTTTAAATGGTCAGGTGCATCAAGTGTGGCAATTCACACTACAGTAATACTGCATGCAACCACTGGGAACAAGACCAAGATGGACACCTCCTTACCTGTTCAGTGAACACTTCCTGCATGAACATCAGTCGCAGTCGAGCCAAGGAGTTGGGCCTGATTGGAATCTGTGAACATCAAGTACACAGAGTCAAACAATCTTTCTCGATTTTAGAAATCTATTGTTAAATTCGTCAAAAACATGAGAAGAACAAGGCTGAGACACAAAAGGAAGAATCCTAAGGTCAAGTCCAAATCTTACGGTTTGAGCTAAGTCCAGGTCTTCAGCCATTACAATATATGTGGGTACCTTGTTCATAGACAGAGCCGTAACTCAAGTAGTGCACACACTAAGGACACGGCCTCACCTTCATGCCCAGCGTAGAGCAGACCAGGTCGATGATGGCGTGCACCTGGTTGCCATGGAAATGGCTGGCCATCAGGAGAAGCATCTCGCTGAATGAGGCGCTCACCCCGCTCTCTCGCTCAAACATCGGTCCCTCCCGAACCAGCCAATTGATCCAATCTATCACAACGCTCTCGTCCTCTTGGCTGACAAACGCGACCAGAAAAAAAGTCGAACGTCTCACACTTCTCAATGCTTAATATCAATCACATTTTTGAAAAGCAGCCCATCTTTTCTGAGCCACTGCAGGTCTGTGTTTACCTCCTGTTTCCATGGTATAAAATGACTGTGAAATTCAGCTGCATTTAGATAGGATGCCAGTCCATCACAGGCTGCTCTCCAGCTAATGTTAGCATCCATTCATACTCCACGGTGGAGCAAGATAAGGGTAAGGGTAAAGTGGCTTGCCCATGGACACAACCTCCAGGAAGCCAATGAATTCAAACATGACCTTCTGCTCATGAGACACAAACCTTAACCAATAAGGACACACTCCCAACATCAAATAAAGATAGTTACGAACTGGAAAACAATCTCCAGGTGAGGTGGTGAGCCCGTTGCGACCCCAATGCGTTCGATCTGTACCAAATTTTCCAGAAAACTACCAATATGGAGATCACAGTGCATCACAGACAAAGTGAAGAGTTGCCACGGTGATCTAACTACCAAAAATGATTCAATTCAAAGCTTAAGAAAAACTATCTCAGAAAACAAAAAAAATTGGTTTGGAACAGGTAGGGCCTATGAAACCTCTCTTGGAAAGATACTGAAATTGGTTTGGACAGGTAAGGCCTGTGAAACCTCTCTTGGAAAGATACTGAAAATGCTTGAAGTTGTTTCCATGACAACAGAAGAATCTGGCCAATACCTGATGAGGGATGGACAAGCAAACAGCATGCACAACCCCAGACAGATGAAGTGGATCCCCGAGGGCGTGGGCAGGGGGTGACTGCTCAGTAAACGTAACAGCTGCTTGGACTCCTCCTCGCTGAACCTGTTGGACAAATGCAGAGACTATAAATCCAAGCAGAAAAGCAAAAAAATGCACACAAACCTGTGCTCCCAATAAAAGACTATGAAAAATCTCACCATTTCTTGTTCCAACTTCGAACGGATAACCCTTTGTTTATAAACCTCACTAAACCACCTCCAAGAGAACGGGAGGGTACGCTTGTTATCAGTGTCTGACGCAAACCATGGACAACCCAGGAAGGTTAATGAATTACTTGAGCCCGGCGATTCCCTTGAGGGCACAGTACAGTCTCATCACAGCACTGGCCTGTACCACTTGCCGCTCGGGGAGGTTCCCGTGGAACTCTTCGGAGGGGATGATGGCTTTGAGCTGCTGCAGGAGGTGCATTCGTAGAGCTTGGAGTATTGAGGTGCTTGCGTCAGCCTTGTGCTTGATTGGAACAGAGAAAATGGTTTTGGTTCAATAGAGCATGGTAGCCATCTTGCAGGGCTTTTCTGTTGTGTATACCCTATGGAACAAAAGCATTGGCCTGCAAGATGGCAGCCATGCAAGCCCTCTGTGCAAGGATGTAGCAAGCATTGTTGTAGTTGCCTCTATCTTAAGTCATTTCTGAGGTCCTTTTACACGACCAGTCACAAGTAAGAGGTTGAAAAACAACAGAAAAATGCTTTTGTTACAGATCTTTCGGTAACTCGCGACTTAGCTTGCAATTAGATAACTTGTGATGAACGTGTGACAGATACCAAGGTACTTAACCCCAACACTTGAAGTGCGCAAAATGTCCTCTTAAATTTGAAAATAGCCAGAAATCTGGTTACTGAAAGAGGACTCTCACTCAACCACTCTTTTTTGAGTAGGCTTAAAACTCATCTTTTTGAAGTGTACAGACCATCACACTTGTTAGATAATGAATTACATTTGGTTTTGAAAATGGAAAAGGTCCCATCAAGTTTAAAAACTACTTGATATTAAATCCTGTTCAAAAGTGACTTCCGTCGGTACCTTTTGTCCGTTACGGACAAACTGGGCAAACCAGTTACGAACGCCTGAGTTGCTGCCGAGGAGCAGGCCGCTGATGAAGCCTACCACGTCACTCATTCTGCTCTCTGATTGGTCTGGTGTGTCATGGTCTAACGACAGGGCCACCGCTAAACCCGGTAACTTGCACTGGTCAATCTAAACACAGACAAGACACCTCAAGTAAAAAGTGTGTCCATTTTACCGCAAAATGTGGTTGTTTCATCCGAACAGGAGGATTTCCCTACAACACGACACTCCATACAGCAGATCACATCTTCCACATTTGTTGAGAAAACTGTTTAACGAATGCACAAACTTTACAAGCCAAGACAGTCCAATGCGACCATGGAGAAACCTCTGTATCGATCGGCCAAAATTTTGCAACACTTTGTCAAGCTTCCCAGGGATTGCTTCTCGATTTTTCCCCGAAATACCTACAGCAAGAGCTCTGATGGAGAGGGCCTGGCTGGGGTTCATTGTTGCTAACATCCTCAGAGTCTGTGTCCGTCGGCGGCCACCGTAGCTATCTTCGTCTTGCCGCTCACCATTCACAATCAAATTTTTGCAAACTAAAAGACAGACAAGATATCCTTCTTGACAATTCTTCTTGAGAACAGTTCAATTAAAAAATACCCGACCAGATTCTGTAAAACTCAAGTCTTTGAGATTCTTTTCCAATTTTTCTTCAAATTTGATATCACAGAAGCCATTTTGATTTTGATTAATAATTTTAACAATGGGTATTGCTTACTGTACCTTGGAAAAAGCTGTCTGGTACATTGGCTACCAATCTACATAGAAGAATAGGACCATACTGGGCACGCAAGAGTGATTCTGCCATCTTGTCAATTGAAAGCAACGATGGCAACTCTGAAAGAAAAAAAGAATAAAAACCTTTAATGCACTTCTCTGCGACGAACGAAATTAAAAACTCAAGGTTATACTGGGTTGACAACTTGAATTGGGACAAATGAAAACAGCGTACCTGCTTGCGCGATGCACAGTACGTCCGACACTTCTTCCAAATAGACCTCGCTCTCGAACAACTCACAGGGTCGTCTGACAAAATCTGTGGTGTCTTTAATCTGGAAGAATATTCAGAAAAAATGTGCCATGGCTCAGAAATTGTATTAATTTATTTTAACACTTACAGAACCAAGTGAGTTAATTACAAGAAACGATATAATCCATACTTGGATCAAAATTTTCAATGAATCGATAATCTAAGATTACACTACATTACAATCCTATTTCAAGGCCAAAAGCAAACAATTATAATGAGCAGGACCTTGTCTTCACCCTGTGGACCTTGTGAAGAAAATTGGCCTGATTTGGACGGTTTGGGGTTTCCAGCTCTCATGGCTCAATCTGCTTAAGGATTCATGTAGCCTAGTGGTTAGGAATTGTGACTCCCAATTAGTGGGTCGGGGTTCAAATCCAGCTGCTGGTAACATGCAGTGACCATAGGCAAGACACTTTACCCCAACTGCCCTCTATATATCCCAGGAGTACAAACAGCTTCCTGTGAGGGTAGAGGCAAGATGTGTACTATCAGCTGCCCAAAGAGGTCTAGTGGCCTGACGAACAGGGGTAACAAGTTTAACAACTTGAACAGCATTACTGTTGGACATGTACACTTCATAAATCCTCTTTCTGCGCTTTCCTCACACCTACCTGACTGGAAACAAAGAGAAGTTCACTGATGAGCAGACGCAACCTGCTGGCTGGATCGCTGCGTTCAAACTCAAGAGCCAGGCCATGTTGAATGTTGGAGGTCAAGAGATTCTCTGTTTCACCTAGTTTATGTCTAGAAACAGAATGGAATTTATTTGATCTTTTCGTGTGGGGGTTAAGTTGAAGAACTTTATTTCTTTTACAGCAAACGGCAAAAGTGAACAATGGTGTCCCGTTCTCAAAAAACGGTGTGTCTTCTTTATTTAATTTCGGTCTGTCAATAACTTTACTCTGAAGTCAGATTATTAAAATGACATTTTTTAGCAATGCTTTTCACAAAGAGTTTGCTAGGAGTAAAATATCTGGCACCCCCAAAAGTGTAATACTAACGAGGAAGATTATTTTGAAGATGCAAAGTAACATGTGAGGTCCAAGATTTCCTACAGGATAACCAATATGATCTGTGACAGTAGCATGGTCAACCACTGACTGACAGTGTTGGGTCAAATTAAACTGATCATACCTGACACAAACAGGGAGAAATAATGGCACAGCATCTTGCAGCCAGTTGATAGAAAAAACCAAATGAATATGGGGATTGTAAATTTGGCGACCCTGTTCCTTAATAGAAGGGAGAGCTACATTTTAACTTTGAATTCACCTTGGTACATGACTGTGACATCATACTCAGTAACTGTAGGGTTAACATTGTTGTCCAAAAGGGTAGGGTTTTGAGGGAAATTTAGAGAGGAACTGTGAGTGTTTCAGCACATGACACATGGTGGATTCAAATTTGCACAGTCAGTTTACCGTTAAGAAAGTCACATTTTCTCACAATTTACAATTCGAAATTTCCAACAAATAGGGTCAGAGCAATGTTGCAGCAATCAGCGCAATGAGTGCTGCCTCTCTTTTTTTGGGGGGGGGGACTTACCAGTTTGGCAAGATAAAAATGTAAAAAAAAATGGGGGTTCCCCGAGTATACAATCACTTGAATAGGTCACTGACTGCAAAAAAGTTGGCAAAATTGTAGAGAAATATTTGATAGAGCCTAAAATGCTCCACATCTTTTATTCCAGCATTCACCTCATCTGGAGTTCCTTTCGAGCGTCCTGCTCCAGGGCATTGAAGTCCACGGACAGCAAAGCCACGATGGAGTTGACCACCTCCAGCCCGGACAGCACACGGAGAATCTGCTTTCTGCCCTCTACCCAAGCTTGGCTGACGTCCAGCGGGGCACACAGGGACATGCGGACCAGACACGGCAGGAGCGCCCGGATGCTCCCCTCGTCCATACGGGCTATCTGCTCAATGTCCACATTCTGTATAGCCTCAAAGGCCGCGGGACTCAGCTCAAACCGTTTGCTCATGGTCGCTGACGGAATACGAGTTAAAATTCTCGCCTCCAAAAGCTAGGAAATAGCGACAAATCAGGGAAACTTCAGCACGCGTGAAAACGCATTAGCCATGTTGAGAAAATGACTGGCAGAAGTTAGTCTGTAGAGGGCGCTATATCGAAATACTGGCGTAAAAATAAATTATAGCCACTGACGTGAAAATAACACGAGCTTCTTCCAACCCACATCCCACATACAGTAGGGTGAATAAAGATTATAGATAATATTGCAACAAATAAACAAATATGTTTCTATATATAGACAAGAGTCACTTCACTTCGGAAACATGGTGTTATTGTTTACACTCAAACGCATCAGACGGTCAGCCCAGTTAATGTTGTCTTGGCTACTTCTGCAGCTACAGAGACAGAGGCCTACTTTAAATTTAAAAAGGATAATACCAAAAGGTCTAACTTTGAAGCCTACTTTATTTTAGTGAAGAAACAAGACGTATTTATATCTTAGTCTTACTCAAAACTATTTCATACTCGCAGGGTAATAAAGAGACAATATATACTACCCAACAGGGTTTCCAAGATCATGAAGTTCACGTAGATATGTTAGAGTACCGTGACGATATATTAAACACTACTACAAAAACAGTTAAGGACCACATTTTATTTTGCGTATACTTTTTATATGAAATATTGTACTACTAAAAATGTGGTCTTGATGATTTGAAACAATTTTTCATTTTTTTTTATTGCAATGAGAACATAGTCAAAACAAACAAAAAAATAAAAGAACTAGACCCCACTCATTGCTTGAAAAAAAATACAAGTTCAGAAAAAGGTGGTCCTTAACTTTTTTGAGTAGTGTATTTAAAAAATGTCTTTACGAATGCTTGGCCACGGTTCCAGCATGGTCAGAAATCGATCGGTTCAACTAAAAGTGTCGGGAACCGAAAACACACCTCACGATGGAAATCCGCCGGGTAGGGGTATTCCGGAGCTTCTCGTCCGCACCACGTCTTCCGTGTAGGCTACTTTAAGTTTTCTTTGGCCTAACCACCAGCCCCGCCCGTCCACTAGGCTTAAGCTTCCCATTCGCACGTTGATGCTAAGCCGTAACAAGCTTTTATTTACATGAGCTAGCCGGTCTGGGGATTTTCCAAAATCGAAAATGCAAAGTGGGAATCCAAATCTTCCACAAAACTTTGTAAGTTTCAGAATATGTTTCGTCGGCGCCCAAAACGCCAAATTTTCGTAAGGCCCTGTGGAGGACCGTGATTACAGTGCCTATTGGATCTATCCAGCCTTGGGGTACCGATTGAGTCTAGCCCAAGTATGTGGCTCTCTCTCTCCTATCAAGCCCGAGGAGCAATCAAAGGGTGGTTTTCTCAAAGGGGAGGGTGGGGGAATGAGTGGGTCAAGACAATGTTTGGGACTAAGCGTTTAGTCAACTCATTAGTCCTAGAGTAAAGTGGGATATGTGTGGCGCCATGATATGGAGATGGGGAGCGTGCCGTTACGCCCCTGCTAACCAGTATGCCGTCTGCACTCTTAACTTGAACATGCTTAAAAGTAATGAAAATACAGTGGCGTTATGTACGTTCGTGCTGCTAACTTTTCATGACGTCACTTCGCTTCGCTCTCGAATCGGCACCGACAATAAACCACGGCCGCAGAAGTCTTCTGTGAAAATAATTGTTGATTTAAAGCCCGTTCTCTGCTTTGTCCTGCTCTATTTCTGCCTGCGTTGTTTCACCGTCACCGCCGCATTTCTTCCACATCCCCACCCTGAGCTTGTAAATGGCCCAGACGATTACCTGCGTGGACAAGATGGCCAGGAAGATACCGACGATCGAGCCGGCAGCCAGGCCCGGGTTACAGGAGTAGTCGAGAAAGGGGTAGACGATCCCGTTACTCGTACCCCAATAGACGAGGGTGAGGACCATGTAGGCGACTAATGATACGCAGGGGTAGACGGCGTGTAGAAGTCGCACGGGCACGGCAGTGACGACCAGGTCTGCCACGGACACGATGCTGGTCACGGCGTGCACGTGGAAGCTGAAGAAGAAACCGCCCCTGGCGGGGTCGTATAGACCTACCCAGTAAACGATGGTCACTATCAGGTTGACGTTGACGGTGACGTTGAAGAGGAGCCAGTGGATCATGTGACGGACGCCCATGTCTGAAGGGAAAGGATGTGGCAAAAATTAAGGGTCGGAAATTACCAAAGGCTAAAACAGAGCCTTCATTACCACTTATATCGAGCGGCCAGAGTTTGCCAAAAGTTTCCCCTAGATTGGTAGCAAGTGGATCTGTGCCTTTTAAAAATCACATCTGTCCCATAACTGTTGAAGAGGGGTTTGTTTTCATTCAGAATTTTGTACCATTTTATTTGGTGTTTTGATAGCTCTGTGAGTGAGGTATTTATTGACGGTTTTTGAATATTTATTATATGGTACTTGAACTATAAAGTTTGTGGTGAGATGTGTCAGTTCTCAAACAGTGGTTTCTACACCTGCTGATACATCACCTGCGCTGTTCCGCCTCCGCAGGATGTATCCATCCAGGACAGCGATGGAGCCGGCTATCAGCAAGTACACGACGAAAACAGTGAAGGCAATGTTGGTCAGAAAGATGAAGATGCTACCTCCATAGGAAGGAATCAACTCAACGAGCAGAGCGATGTAGACACCCAACAGATACAGCGCTAGGAGCACACGGTATGCTACGAAGACCAAGGCGGGGAGCCTAGTCCACTAAGGAGCAAAACGGAGGAAATTTAGCTGCTCTCTGGTTTGCCCAGTGCGTGTTAAAGGCCTCATTTGGCAGCGGTGACAGCGCACATTTAATGAACGACGCAAAGGGAGATGTTGGTTTCAAAAGAAAAGTCCATTGCCGGGTTGGCCTATTTTGATATAACTGCTGTAGAGCCTTTCCGTGTCAGCCATCCTAGAGGGCATTTCTTTTGTTCCACAGGGAAACCCGCGTTCCCAGTGGAACAAAGGATTTTTGTACATGATGGAAGCTGTGCCAACTCTCTTTACTTTGTTATAACTCGACACTGTCTGAAAAAAATGACTTGAGTTCTAAACCGGCGCGATCATCATTTTTTTGACGGTTGGTGCTATGCTCAGGTGTCATTTAGTTCCATTCGAGACTAATTGCACTTTATGAATACATGAAGTAGCTTAAACAAGCACCTCGTAACGCAAACTGGATTGCCACCAGTCAAGCTTCCTATATGTTTACCAGGCTAACTGTTACACTGTGTCACTGAAGGGCGTTGAAACGACAGTGACTGACCCACCTGTGAACGATAAAAAACACCGGAATCCTCAACGTTCAGTTTCAGATCAGACAGAGTCGGTCGCTTGCAACACTTCATGGTTAGGTTCTTCAACTTGGCCGACGCACCGAATTCAGCAATTCAGCAAATTTCTATCAAGAATCGATAAAGACTGAACAGATATACGGAACTGCGGGGGAAGTGCAGCGATGTTTGATTCAAGTTGTTGGAAGGTCGCCACTACCCTGGAAGATGACAGAAAAGTTTCATTCACTTCGGCGCCATGCCTGCCGGGTGATTCTATATAGAAATTGCACGGTTGATTGACTGGTATCAAAAATAAACATGCGAGCACAGGGTTCGCCAATTTGTATTGCTTTGTCCCGTAAAATACGTAGACTCCACTTCAAGTCTAGTTCCCGGTAGTGCACTTTTAAACTTCATCTCAATTTCGAGCCCCAAACTGTCAGTATCATCTGAGACCAAGGATCTGGCACACAAAATGCTCACTTGTAATTGATGCGCGACCTACACGGGCTCAAACAACAATTGGGGGCACTGCCCGACGCACATATCACGTACCAGGCTAGGTCCTCCAGCAAACAATTATTAGAATCCCCGAAATTTGGACAGAAAGTTCTGCTGGTGTGTGGACTTTGGTAATTACAGGCAGCCAATTTTACACAAGGCAGCATGACGCACTTGAAAAAATCCCGTTTAATACAACAAAGAATTTCGTTCTGGGTTTTTAATAACAGGATAAAAGTGGCTATGAGCAACGGTGGCTTGGGAACAGCTGGTGCTTAATAGATGGTGGCGTTAGAATGGCTGTTGACTTCATTGAGACTAGCTGTTGACTTGAGACTAGCTGGGGCTTGAGGCTAGCTGCTGACTTGAGACTACCTGGGGGCTTGAGGCTAGCTGTTGACTTGAGACTAGCTGTTGACTTGAGACTTGCTGGGGGCTTGAGAATAGCTGCTGACATGAGACTAGCAG